TGTCGCAGATTTTGTCTACATCTCTAGGGATATTTTTGCACGAGATAATCGCAATGATCGCAATCCTAGGCTACCGGTATTACATTACACATAAAAAGGGTACTGCCCTTCGTAGCGCCTTGAAACACTGACAAACGAATGACTAATCAGCCTGGACAACTGCTTCTGATGAGAAACTTTTCTAGATTTCCATGATGTTACTTCCTGAAAATTGTTGTTTTGAGTAAAATTCACTCAGCAGTTGTTCGTCCCCCGTCGCATGCCCCCTACGTCTGCCGTCACTCTGTTATGAATCACCATCCCGCGCTATTGTTAAAGTAAGAAGGGTGGGTCCTCGAAGGTGTAAACCCGCTGGCGATAGTCACAGCCGGACGGGGCGTGGTCTTGTTTGGCAACAGCCAATAAGCGTCGACGGGGGATAAAAGAAGTGCCAAGGTGAGATCGTGAGCCTCATCTCATTCTCTCAGCCATGGCCAGCCGTACTACCGCCGGAGGACTTGGATTTGCTGTCCGACAAAAGGTAACCTTGATTTTGAGTATTTCACCAAGTCTTGTGTTTTGGAACGATCTCTATGAAGTTGTGTTTCAGCAAGACTCGAAGTACAGTGAGGATGAGGGTGAGCTCCTACTTAAATGGATCAAAGAATTGTCAAAGGAAAACATCAACACTTCTGGCGAACGAGACAATTTCCTGAATCTGCTCAAGGATGGAACACTTCTTTGCAAGTGAGTATTTCTCTGAAAGCATGATGATTTTGGTTAGTTGATGGAAATTATGTAGTACAATTTGAAGTTAGCTATTGGAATAGATGTAGTGTACCAAGGGCTTCACCATGAGGTGGTAGTCCTGTAATCGCCACATTGTCCATTCGATACGGCTTTCTGTGGTATTGGTTATCGTTTATGCAGAGTCCTGCTGCAACTGGGAAGCGCCTCAAAGGCGGATCTTTTCTTTCTTGAAGTTTCTCACTGGTGATTTGGGTGAATTTGGAAGAGAGAACTTCCTTGTGGCGGAGTGGAGGCACTTAGTTTGGTCCTTCTAAAATTTCACTACTGCTCCGATCATGAGTCACCCAACTGGAGCAATGTGTTCTGTCCGTAACCTATAATTGGAAAAATTTGATTAAGTTGAAATTTTTGATATTCATGGAAGAACCCTGTAGAATTCATTGGTAATTCTGTAAGGCAACACATGCTTCATAGGATTATCAGGTCGTGAAGAAAGTTCTGAAGGTTTTCAATCTCAAGTCTCAAATGCGCAGATCTTGACTGAAATAAAACTTCTGTAATCGAAATAGCAACCTTCTACTGCTAGCGAAATTTAAGTACACTTGCTCCGCTTGCATAGAAGTCCGAAGATTCAGAGGCAATGAAATCGGTGAATGCCGTTAAAGAGTCTGGCTTGAAAAGCATTTCTCCCTGAGATAGCCGTCGAATTGTCCGAAGAAGAGGTAACCACCAGAGGCCGGTCTGGTGAATGTAGTGGATGCGGAAATGTGTCGTACACTAGCTTCTTTTATCCTTTTGAAGGAGTTTATGCTATATGGGGGGTCACA